CACGGAAGAGACGAGTTTCAGTTGTTTCTTGAATATTGTCAAAGATTTGTTGTTCCAGATGGGGGTGGGGAGATCATTCCACTAGCAAGGAATAGTGAATGAAAATGTTCTGGAAAGTGATTTTGTGCTTCTCTGTGATGGCGTCGCTCACTTACTCAGACTTCTGGAGCAGATGAAGACTCGTAAGAGTGAGGAGGAAGTAGACGGGTGCTGAGCCTATGGCTACTGTATATGCAAGCATCAATGTCTTGAACTTGATGCGAGCCGCAACCGGTAGCCAGTGCAAGGAGATAAAGAGAGGTGTGATATGGGCACTTTTGGAATCGTTGGAAACTAGTCTAGAAATGACAAGGGCCTGGACAAGAAGTTGTGCAGCATGCTCAGTTTAAAAGGGCCTGATGTTTCTGATGTTGTGCAACGCAAACCTGCATGATTGAGCCGTCTTTTCAATGTGGTCTTTGAAGGTCAGCTGGTCATCAAAGATTACACCAAGATTTCTGACCGAACTTGATGGGGTAATTGTTGATGAACCTAACTGGATGGTGAAATTATGCTGTAGAGTTGGAGTGGCAGGGAAGACAAGGAGCTCAGTCTTTGCCAGATTGAGCTGTAGGTGATGTTCTTTCATCCATGCCGAGATGTCTGCCAGGTAGCCTGAGATCTGTGCAGCTACCATTGATGGGCACTTTTGGAATCGTTGGAAACTAGTCTAGAAATGACAAGGGCCTGGACAAGAAGTTGTGCAGCATGCTCAGTTTAAAAGGGCCTGATGTTTCTGATGTTGTGCAACGCAAACCTGCATGATTGAGCCGTCTTTTCAATGTGGTCTTTGAAGGTCAGCTGGTCATCAAAGATTACACCAAGATTTCTGACCGAACTTGATGGGGTAATTGTAGAAGAACCTAGCTGGATGGTGAAATCATGCTGTAGAGTCGAGAGGCAGGGAAGACGAGAAGCTCAGTCTTTGACAGGTTGAGCTGTAGGTGATGTTCTTTCATCCATGCCGAGATGTCCGCCAGGCAGCCTGAGATCCGTACAGCTACCGTTGGATCATCTGGTTGAAATGAGAGATAGAGTTGTGTGTCATCCGCATAGCAATGGTAGGAGAAACCATGTGCTTATAATGATGGGTCCCAGTGATGTAGTGTATATGGAGAAGAGGAGGGGTCCAAGAACTGATCCTGAGGAACCCCATTGACCAGTTGATGTGCTTTGGATACCTCTCCCCTCCAGGCAACCCTGAAAGACCTACCTGTGAGATAGGATTCAAACCAGTGCAGTGGAGGTCCTGTGACGCCCAGTGAAGAGAGGCTGGACAGAAGGATCTGATGGTTGATGGTGTCGAAACCTGCAGACAGATCTAACTAATGATTTGAGATCAGCTTTCGCAATCAGCAGAGCTTCAGTGACCAACAGTCATGTAGTCTTAGTTAAGTGGCCATTTAAATCCTGACTGGTTAACATCCAGCTGGTCATTCTGAGAACACAGGTCTGTAACTTTCTTCTTCTGAAGTGTTTAGTGTGGGGGTTTTTTTAATCAGTGACCCCACCTGAGCCAGCGTTGGGGAAAGTGCCTGTGAGGACAGATGTTTTGATGGTATGTGAGTGCTGGTAGAAGTGTAGGAGAGACTGCTTGTGCTTGCAGAGGGTCTGGAGTAGGGTTGGGTATCGTTTGATTTTTATCGATTCCGATTCCGATTTTGCTTATCGATTCCGATTCTTATCGATTCCTAGTTTCGATTCCAATAAGATAAAAAATCTAAAAAATGAAGTCAAACATTTAGATGTCAAACATTTATTCTGTCTTTTTACAAAGCATTCTGTTGCAGCTGAATAACACGAGCAAAGAGGAATTTTGCCTATGCTTTGAAAAAAATACCACAGCAAAAACAACTAGATTAATATAAATTTCAAGTATTAAAGTGTTAAAGACAAGTAAACAGTCAGTAATAAGATAGGATCAAACAAATCAATTAGCAATATCATAAATAAATACAACTGAACAAAATTTCAGGTACAGAAACTGTAATTAACAGTTTAAAAGCACTGCATAGTTTTCTTTTCATAAATAAAATATAGATTAATCAATTCAAGTTCTTAAATATATTCAGTCAAGATCAGTGAATGATTTTCTTTTGTTCTTTGATTAACATTAATGACAGGCAGCGCGTTTATTAGGCTGCTGTCTCTTAAATTAAATTATCTAAAAATACTGTTCATGTGTGTTTTCTTTCTCATCTGTTTACGTTCACGTAAGACAAAAACAGCTGTGTTTATGATGATATACTGACGTAGTTTTCTGCATATTTGTCGACAAATATGAAAGTCAGTATCGGCCCGGAACAACCTTTTCTACAGTGGAAATACACGGAACTGTTCGAGAACGGTCTCAAACCGGGAACCCGTACCACGACCTCTGTTCTCTGTGCTTGCTCTTCGTGTGCGCTGCACGCAAACAGGGTGCAAGTTCTTTCCGTTCCTGCACTTAAATCGTTTTTAATCACATTAAAATGCGAACGCAGGAATCGTTAAGCAGAATCGAAATGCACGCGTCTTATCGAATACCCGGTTCTTGGATATTTGGAACCGGTTCTAAAATGGAACCGGTTTTCGATACCCAAGCCTAGTCTGAAGGTGTTAGGATGAAGTTGAGATACAGAGAAGTTTAGATTCGTCCGCCTCTTTAAGGACAGAGAAGGAGACAAGGTTGTTATCTGTGGATGTGGTTGATCTGAGTTCTTGGCTGTGTGAAGCTGAAATCTTGACATTTTGATGTACTTGTACCATTTTCTTTCAAATCAAAGCAACAAGTACCTGCTGGCCTGGAGCAGAGAGGGCAGATATTGTCTATACAGGATGTTAATGTGGAGCATAAAGTGTCTGTGGCAGTATTCACATCTATTGATGAGAACTGGGTGGGAGAGGGAAACAAGGATGACACTACAGAGGAGAGGTGAGAGGGAGAATGGGAACCGGTTTCGTCTGAACGAAACTGGCGGAGCGGTTGGTGGAGCACAAGAAGAAGGAAAGATGAATGTAGCACTTGAGTGGCATGGATTACTTTTGTTTGGGTTTGAAACTTTCATGGTTTTTGTCATTTCAGAGCTTGACGGACCCAGTCTCCCTTCACTTTCAGTATATGGAAGAGCAGCCAGCATATTCTTCAAAAATCCTCCTTTTGTGTCCTATGGGTTTGGAACAATATAGCAGAATATTCTTTTGTGTGAGAAAATCTCCAGAATATTCTTCAGTAGAGAAAATTTCCAAGTCATTTTTCTAAAGTGAAAACCCCACTTTCTCCTCATATTATATAAGGTCTCTAATCGTTTGTTTCCAGCTGTAAAAGGGGAATTCAGGAGTGAGCCGTCTACCCTCATGACCATTTGTTTTCCACTAGCTTTTCCACTCTTTAAATTGCTGCCATGTCTACAAGATTCCAAATAAATGTTCAGTGGCCTATAATGTGAGCCAGTGTGCTGATGGGTGGCATCTTACACAAGGTGAAAATTAAAATCAGGACTGACTACCCCTTTGTTTTAGAAATGAATTGAAACCACAAACTAGAATAAGCCTTGGATCACTACCAGCGTTTAGTACAGTTGATTATTTCTATGAAATGACTGTCTGAAAAGAAAATGCTAGTGGAATATAGTCAGAGAACAGTCGTGTTGGTCAGCTGTGTAATACGCGAAGACACTTGGATACACCGAAACATACAATGGAGTCCAAAGGTGAGAAAACACTGGGCATTTTAAAGCAAGACATCCATGCTTTAAGATTGAATTTAAAGATTCATAAGTTTAACGATTAATAATAATGATGTAAAATGAACATAACTTAAGAACATCTCATGCTGGATATCATGAATCATCAGGTTTTGTTCATGCCAACTCTAGTGCTGCTGTCATTAAAGCAAAAGAGAGACACTAAATGGTAAGACATTCAGAAATTAATGTACTTTTTTTCAGTTTGATTGGTTGTAATTAAAATTCACATTTTCAAGAATGAAGCCGTTTCACCAGCGTTTTCAGACTTTTAGACCCCACTGCATTTTTTCCCCAAACTTCATACATTTTTTTTAATGGATTTGAACATTGGTTGGCATTCTGGAAGAATCAAAGGCTTCAAATGATAGAATAAATTGTTTTATTTGGCAAATAAGAAATGTATTTACAACGCACACAAGTAAAAACCCTGATATTAAAACATTTGGCAATGTGTATGTATGAACTGACATGAATATGTGCCCAAGTGAGTGATGTTCCACAGTACTGTGGTGAACTTTAACCCTGACCCCGTCGTTTCCTCAATGCTGCAGCTATCCTGAGATGAGTGATGTCAGAGCCTTCTCTTCCAATCAGGAGACAAGCATGAGAGGATGCTGGTCTGGATCTGGTCTGAGCTAATGTTCTGGATATAATTCGCGCTCTAGGATTATGTCAGGTCCTCAGAAGCGCACTCGTACCCTCCAAGAGTACGTGGTCAGCACCTTGTTCTTCT